AAAAAAAAAAAAAAGAATTTATATGCTAGTACCTATCTTTTTGAACCTTAGTGTTTAATATGACAGGTCTTTAAATACAAGTAATTTTTCCAAGCATTTTTTGCAGTGTTATGAAGGGATTACACTATCACACTTAGAAGAAAATATACAGCATACTTAAGACTTGTCTATACTGGCACTTTACAGCGCTGCAACTTTCTCACTCAGGGGTGTGAAAACATCCCCCCGAGCGCAGCAAGTTTTAGAGCTGTAAAGCGCCAGTGTAGACAGTGCACCAGTGCTGGTAACTGCGCCCCTTGTGGAGGTAGGTGTTCACAATGGGACACCAAGCCAGACTAGTGTTCCAGCTGGTGTGGTCTGGACTTCACTGTGAACAAAACCTAAAGGAGTCCATTTGTTAAACTGGCTGGCTGCTGGATTCTAGGGAATGGTTTAGTCAGTGAACCCCAGCCATCTCTGTTACAAACTGGAAAAGACAATTTAGCAAACTGAATGTAACACAGAGAAGCATGATCTAAAATCTGTATTAGCAGTTAAGCAGATTTATTACATTGGCTGAAAGTAATTGCAGCTCATGCCATTAAGTTTACTTCAATTACTGCCCAAGGGCTTGAGAATTAGACCCACACTGCATATGGCATGGAGAAATCCCTTCAGCTTGGCCTGGGGTGTTCTAGCAGCAAGATTCAAAATGCATCTCTAGATATAGACACTTCTAAGAACCACAAACACTTCCCAAGCTTAACTTAGAGACTCTTCAACACTGGAGGCCAAAAAGTCACCAGTCTAATTTCTCTACCTAGAAATATTGTCATCCACTTGGAATGTATGGCTATAAAAGAGACAAGATCAACAAAAGCCTCTAACATTAAACAAAGCAGCTGATGGTTCTAATTGACACACCCCTTCTTTCTGGTGCATAACCTTAGACTCTTGTTGTTTCTTTAGCTACAATACAGTTTGCTGTGATTCACTAGCTTCTCATTTCCTGTTCAGATATCTGGCCAACAAGGACAGCTCAGATCTTTGTAATAGCACAGGTAAGAAACAACAGGCTGAATTCATATGAATAGATGAGAAAAGGGATGTGAAGAGGAATGGTTGCAAAGGGGAAGATGGCTGGTTATAAAGCACAGGACTGTCAGGAGATCTGAACTCTATTGTATTATCTTGGGTAAGTCACATATCTCACTTTCCCCTAAATCACAGGGGGTTCATAAGATTACATTTCATTAGTGTTTTTAAAGCATGCAGAGATCCTCAGATACAGAGTGCTACAGACATGCAGAAAAATAAAAGAGGCCAGTTGCATTTCAAAGGTGGGTCTTCAGATAGCATGTCACCAGTTGGATCTTTAGAAAGTATCAAGATTATTTCAGGAAAGGGCAAGTACACATCTCTTGCTGCAGTTTTCTCAATTCTTCAAAGCAGAAGACAGCTTTTAATTCCAAGTAAGACAATGAATACTCTGTTCTCATGTTTGATGAGAACATTACATTTTAATAGCCTAGTTTCCATCAGAACCATTTACTAGCCTCAGGGCTACACCAGTAGGACACCCACTACTTCACAGATAGACGTACCACGTGGCCTGTGGAGCTGCCTTGCTTGGACACAGCTGCCTGGTACTTTGCCAGTCTATCCTTTATTGAAGTTTCTGTTAGGTGAGGCATCTCCAGGTTTCTTCTACTCTCTGGCTTGTCTGGGCTGAACGTTGGAGAGCTACAGACCAGGTGATCTGGAACAAGGATGTTACATGGTTAGAGTAACCTTCATAAGTAAAGCACTGAATAGTAAAATCTTCTGTTCAAAAAGATTCAGGTCTCTTCTTCCTCCACTCTCAAAATGCATGGGATTCCCAGACTTGAGAGATGTTCTACCCCATGGCTTATGCTATACCAGGAGTATCAGTCTACCCCAGCACATACAACTGATTACTAAAAGCAGCACCTTAGAATGTGCAGTTAACATCTGCTTTGGCACAATCCAGCCAGTAAACTCCTGAGCAGTAAAGACAGTAAAAACAATCTGTACTTAGAAGAACATATAGGCATTATCAAGCAGATAGCAGGTGAGAAGTGCTGAGGAGAACAAATGGGTTCAAATACATTTAACCCAGAAAATAATGGTAATGCAAGACTGTTCATTACACCAATAATGTACCCAGACGTTTTTTTTTGGGGGGGGAGGGGGGGAGATGGAGGAGGAGGGGGGAAGGGAACATAGGGTTAGTTTACATACACACACACACACACGGTGAAGCTTAATCCCCAAATACCACTTACATGGTGTCTTCCATCTGAAGATCTCAAAACAAAAACTTCATAAAACAACTAAACCTAATTTCACATCATGCTGGCAAGATGGGCGGGAGCTATCCATTTTACATAAGAGAAGGAAGAACAGAGATTAGGCATTTTGTCCAAGGCCACAGTGGTAGACCTGTTAATAATACCCAGATCTCTTAACTCCCAGTGCTCTGTCACAGATGACCAAGCCATCCTTTCTCTACATTAGTTAACCACTATCTTACAGCCTTTATTTTAGGCAGGGAAAATATTTAAGGGCCCAACACCTCTGATTATTCAACTAACTAGCTTCCCAGTTAAGGTCCACTTACATAATAGTTTTGACCACGATGTGGAGAACTAGAAATGAAGAGACTTTTCACTAACTAACCCAACCTCAAATGAAAAATTCATTTTAATTTAAATGGCACAAGGTTTTACTAGGGTGTACAATGGTAAGAATGGTACCTTTCATTGCTCTCTCTCTCTAGCCTGGCTCAGATAAGGGTATTGTTTGCAGCACTAGGAAGTAAAGTTCAATGCTAGCCATAGGCTGGAAACAGAACTATAGCAACTCCTAACAAAAGCTGTTTAAAGATACCTGGACAATACAAGGTAGTGTTCATGAGTCAAGAATTCCATAGTAGGTGCATAACTTTTGGAGGGATTTAAAGCAACATGAAGAATTTCACAGTACTGGGTCACAAGGGAAATACTGGCAGGCAGGGAATTAGGGGAAAGAGTTTATTATTTCTCTGGTTTCTAAATTAAGGTTATTTTCCAAGAGAAGAAGTACAACCATCTAATAGAACATGGGACTAGGAATCAAGAGATATGGCTTCTATTAGCTCTGCTATGAAGTTTTTTCTCCCATGCCCCAGTTTCTCCGTAGGATCCTGGAGAAAGATACAGGGTGCAAAGATATTATGTTAAAAAAAAAAAAAAAAGCTTAGTTCATTAGTGTTCATAAACATCATCAATAATTCCTAGCTCTTATCTAGCACTTTTCAGTAAATCTCAAAGCACTTTACAAAGGAGGTTAGTATCATTATTCCCATTTTACAGATGGGGAAAACAGGTGAAGCAATTTGCCCAAGGTCACCCAGCAGGAGAGTGGCAGAGTAGGGAATAAGAACCCAGCTCCTTTGAGTCCCAATCCAGTGCTCAAGGAGGCCCAAATGGCTCGAGACTACCAACCTGAAACATTATGGCTCCTCTCCCCAGAGCAGATGTCAAGGTCCTCTGAAGAGAAGCTGTTTTCAGAGATTCTCCTGCTACCCGTAGTCCTACTCTGGTCCCGAAAAATCTGTAAGACAAAACCCACCTATGAGGTGTCTGGACAAGGCAGAGATTGTTGTGCATAATCCTTTGAGATGCATAGGTGTCTCTAGCAAATCTCCTTTACTGGACTAAACAAATCTAGCAGATGATGTCCTATTTAAGCAATATCAAGTTTGGTCACAGGATAGCTACCTCTCCAGACATATAGATGCCTTTTGATTGTGAAAAACAACTAGAGGGGGGAGGGATAGCTCAGTGGTTTGAGCATTGGCCTGCTAAACCCAGGGTTGTGAGTTCAATCCTTGAGGGGGCCACTTAGGGATCTGGGGCAAAATCAGTACTTGGTCCTGCTAGTGAAGGCAGGGGGCTGGACTCGATGACCTTTCAAGGTCCCTTCCAGCTCTAGGAGATAGGATATCTCCAAAAAAGGTGTTTGTGTCTAGAATGCCATATGTTAGATGCTGATCTCCAGTACATAACCTACAAGCTAGATGTCCAGAGAGGGATATATATAAGCACTCATACCAGTTTGTAAATTAACAGTTTACAAGCTCAGTAACAATCATTTCATCAAGATGTGAAATTAAGAAAGAGAAATAGGTTTTAAGATACCAATACATCATCATTACCATTCAGTAACTACAGAGGAGAACAAAAACTTTAGCAGATGACTAGAGTTACATTTTATATCAATCAATAAGCACAACCTATCAGAGTCAGACTGACCCCCAAATTAGGTCTGGTAGTCAGGCTGACACTTCAATAGGTTGGTGCTGGACAGAAATAGCCTCAGATCTCCAGGATAAACCACCAACATGGCTGTGATGCTGGATGTAATGCCTCTATATAAATCCATGGTACACCCACACCTTGAATACCATGTGCAGATCGGGTCGCTCCATCTCAAAAAAGTTACTAGAATGGGAAAAGGTACAGAGAAGGAGAACAAAAAATGATGAGGGGTATGGAACAGGTTCCACATGAGGAGAGATTAAAAAAGACTAACTTTTTTTTTTTTTTAAACTGAAGACTACTAAGGGGTGGGGGATACGATAGAGGTCTATAAAAATCATGAATGTTGTGGAGAAAGTGAATAAGGAAGTGTTACTTACCCTTTCACAAGAACCAGGGGTCACCCAATTAAATTAATAGGCAGCAGGTTTAAAACAAATAAAAGGAAGTACTTAGTCACATAACTCAGAGTCAGCCTGTGAAACTTGCTGCCACGGGATGTTGTGGAGGCCAAAACTATAACTGGGTTCAAAAAAAAAGAAAGAAAGAAGTTCCTGCAGGATAGGTCCATCAATGACAATTAGCCAGGATGGTCAAGGATGCAACCCTCAAGCCTGACTGCCAGATGCTGGGATAGGATGAAGAGATGGATTGCTCAATTAGTGCCTTGTTCATTCTGAAGCATCCAACATGGCTGCTGTTAGAAGACATACTGAGCTAGATGGACCATCAATCTGACCCAGGGTGTTTTGTACTAGCAGCATAGATGGATTCTCTGATCAAATCTGAAGGAGCTGACACGTATTTGCTGCAATCAACCTCAAATGGCTCCCTATAAAACTTTAGTGCACAATAAAAAAAATATCCAACAATTATAGAAATAAGTTTCAACAGCTCCTCTGAATTCTCTGTGGTGTGCAGAGTTTAGTTTGCCTACACCAAGACTGGATGTTTTCACAGCTGAAAGTCAACCTATAAAAACAGCAGGAGGAGATGAGAGCTCTCTTCTCCCCAGGAAGAGTTAAGTCTCAGAGCCCACTGGAAATTAAGGGGGCGGGGGGGCGGAGATTTGGCAAAACACTCCAACCACACATTTCTTTTCCTGCTTCCAACAATTTTCTCATTTTCTGGTCACCAAACTGATAGAAATTCCAGTTTTATACTAACAGAGCTGTACTGTAAGATAATCACTGTGAAAAATCAGGCACACAGAACAGAGGAACTTCACCGGGAAAGGAAAATGCAGTTGAAAAATCCCTTGTTTTCCAGTAGCAAGGTTAGAAATTTTATATTTCTATAGTTTAGAAAATTGGTAATGTTTCTTACTGGAAAAGCATTTTACTGAAACAAACCTTTTCCTTCTGGTGAAGGTACTGATAGATGAACCCAAGCGGAGCCTACGCACTTCTAGGAATTTGCAGACTCCTCAGTCACCTCCAAGATTTGCTTGCACATTCTTGTTGAGTTTCACCACCACTACCACACTGAGCCAACACTCTGAAGTGCCTGAAACCTTACCGTTTGGGATTAAAGTATAGACAACAGTTTCTCTTTTCTCCCAGTACATGAAACAGAGTATTTTAGGCTGAGATTTTTGGGAGAGCGCTGCTAAGGAATAGTGTCCTTTTGGGAGGTGGGGGGGGGAGAAGGTGAACATTGGCTGCATTAGCCTATTGAAAGTTCCTACTAGCATAAATTTAGAGACATATCAGACATCTAGTTTGCAAAGTTAAACACAAAGTTCATGCTTCTTTATATTGGGTGTGGTTAGCAGAAAGGAAGGTGGAACAAACAAGTTCTTACAAGGGCACAATATGACCCAGGAAGAAAGTTTAATTGGTCAGGTAAGTGCATCTGGAAGTACTAAAGAACCACAGTTCTCTTAAACCAGAATCTCTCAGGTATATAACTAAAATCTTGTGAGTATCTGGATTCCATTCTCATGTAGATGACAAACAATACTTTTTAAGAACAGAGATGCCTAAGTCTAGAAGCTTCCTTGAGTTCTTTAAGGAGTGGTTTCCTCCTCCTCCTCCCCCTCCCTACATACCCCATCCTCCTTCCTGTCAGCAGACTGCAACTGATTTGAACAAACTTTCCCTGAAATCTTCGCTCAGAGATTATGTAGACTAAACACATCAACAGAAATAAAATAAAAAGCTAGGGTTTCCTGAAGTAAAATTCTTTCATGATGCTTTTAAACCAGATTGGGCAAAATACTCCCCAGTGCTGTAATTCATTCCATTATGCATGAAAGCACACTGTACTGGCTATCCTATCAACCAGAGCAAAACCTGGTCACGGCCCCCAAGGAGTTTACAATCTAGAGACAGGTGCTGAAGTAACTATGGTTCTGCTTAGCAGGGAGTTGAATGATTCAAAGTTTGAGAGGTATAGTCCTTTCTTTTGTTCATCTTATGCCATCATGGGAACAAATGGACACTAGTTATAGGGCAGTAAGTTTAGAATAGAAGGAAATACCACTTCACTCAGTATATTGTCAAACTGGAATTCACTGCAGCAGGAAATCAGAGTCAAATACTGGAAGTAGACAGTGTCATGACTGTAGCTATGCAGTAACATAACAAGTGTACTAATGTCTCAAGCCAATCTCCTCAGCCCTCCCCTACAACTGTACATGTGCATTTGTGGGGGGAGGGAGAAAGGACTGGGGAGTAATACCCTCACCTGATTCAGTAAGACACTTGCCACAAACTCGCTGCGACACCTTGGGCAAAGTACTATACTTTGCTGCACCTCAGTTTCCCCATCTGTAAAATGGGGTATGCAAAAAAAATTTTTTTTTTTTAAAACCAATTTCTGAAAAGCCCCAAGTTTCTTGGATGAAAGATGCTGCAAGTGCAGTGTTGCCATTCCATTTGGTCTTTTGCCCAACAACTCATCTTGCTTTAGGCAAACCACACCTAATTTATATAGCAACATAAGAATACAAGTCACTGCATATCAGATTAACAGTGCCAAAAAGAACAAGTACCTGCCTCAGAACAACTCAAAAGGGACAATCGTATCTTAACGCTTGATTGGAAAGTTTTACGTTATGCTCCTCCTGACTTTCTTCTACTACTTGCGCTTGTGTGCCTTATCTGATGTGAGTCACTGTGACACACTGAAGTATCTTTGAAATTGCCAAAGACTTGAGACATTAGAACCAATAAGTAATAAAGGAAAGCTGGTCTTTTGCTTCAGGCATCGGTTTGAGTCCCACACCCGCTTCTCAGGCAGGCTGCTATTGATATGCTTAGAAGTACTTTCTTCCCAAAGATGCAATAAACATTTGTCTTGCTTCTGAGATTCAGAAGCTGGATCAAAATCTGAACAGAAAAGAAGAACTTGTGCAGGTGGTGCGGCATCCCTGGGCAAAATTTAATCCAGCCATTTTTTTTGTTCAGTTTTGAGAGTCTGGATAGTTTTGTTTCTACAAACAGATGCAGGTGAGGACATAAGGGGCAGGGACAGTCAGGACCATCAGTTTAGGAGCTATCCATGTTCAATTACAGAACTGAGCACACTGCACTTTGAAACTACCCAGACTCGTGCTGCTTCTCCAGTTGTTCCCAACTGTAATGCAACTAAAGTATATCCCTATGCTGCATGACTGTATCTGCAGGATATCACCCTCATACCCCCTAAAATTTCCAGGGCCAGAAAACTTACAGAAGTGCTTTTTAGTTGCAACAAAGGCCTTTCCCCTACATTTTAAAAAATGTAGACATCTGCCTTTATAAGTTCGATTGAGGGAGGGAATGCATGTGCAAAATTAATTTTGAGTGGACAAAAATGGAATTTAAGGGAAGAATCCTTCAAAGTTTCAGGACTTTCAGAACTGCTGGGGTCAATTTCTGTATTAGCCAGTTTGCTGTGACCGAATTTCAAATAACGACTTATCTATGACATAAAGTTACCAATTCCAGCTGTTAAAGACGAGTAGTTTGGTCAGCTCAAACACACTTCCTTCCCCCAATGCTCAGATACAGTTACTCAAGTTTAGCTGGAAAACTGGTACTTTCCTGTGGAGTTTTCATGTGCTCTGGAAACTTGTACCCATGAGAATGGAGATTTCTTCTCAGGAATTCAAAGTCTCACCTTGCTACTGCTCCTTGTAATTAGCACCTTAGGGATGGAGTCAATAGCAAAGGCAGCTCTTACAAATTTTAATGAGAACTAAAAACTCAGATTTAAACGGTTAATGTGAGAAACCATTTTGAATGCCTATATTCAGACCAAATATTCAGCCTAACCCAAAGATTCTGTCCCCCAAACCCCTTTTATTTCATATCTAAAGTAAATATCTCCCCTGTCCAAGTTTTTGCTTTGTTTTACTGAATAATCTAATAAAACCATCATGAGTAAAACAAAGGCAGAAATAATAAGAAATCATGAGAAAAACTGGAGAATCCACCAGCATTAATGCCCTAGGACTCTGTTGTAAGTCACTGGCATATGCAACTCATTTTCTAGTTAAGCAATTCTCCCTGGGGACAAAATCTGCAGTCCACATGCAGGATCAAATTTCATGAGCAATTGTAGGAAAATGCAAGCCCTGTGCGTTTGCAAGTCAAAACTAGTAAAGGCATGAGCTCGTCTAGCTATTTTCTCTGTGAGAGGATTTTCTTTGATAGGAAACATTTCTTCAGATACACAGATGAGAGGATAGCAAAGAGGAGACGGAGTTTCAGCTCAGTACAATATACAGTGAGCCCTTAGACTTTCCCTGTAGCTTTGGCAGACCTTCCTGTCCCACAGCAGCGGGTATTAAGCTATTCACAAAGGGAGCTTAATAGTTTTGTTAACACACACACACACACACACACACACACACACACACACAACAAACAATCAT